AATCGTGCAGTGTATGGAAGGCATGCGACCGTTTCTACTGTACGGTCGCACGTCTTCCATCGAACCAGCATGTTTGAAAACCCGCCGGGAATCGTACGATTCTCGGCGAGTTGATGGCCTGCTGGTTCGACAACTGCCGCACACTGCCCGTTTGCAGTCAGCGTAAGCCCGCCCCTCATTACAGTCATCGCAAGCCCGCCCCTCAGGGGGCGTGGCTTGCGATGATCGAGAGTGCGATCTGCCCGTCCAAGATGGGCAGATCGTACGTTTTTTTAATCCCTTTACAACCATCGCAAGACTAAGGTCTTGCGATGGTTGTACAGTGTATGGCCACCTTTAGGCTTTATTTTCACCTGGTGATCAGGCCGGTAATTCTGTTATTTTCCAACTTGCTTTAACAGACCAAACTATCCATCAAAATCGGCAGTTGGAAGGTAGGGACACTAAACTCAGTAAGAGGGTCCCTCCTCTCCCAGTCCCAGCTGAAGAATGTGCTGCCTGGCGGCGCCTGCTGTGTCGGTAGCGGCCCCGCCAGGCAGACAAGTTACACACAGAGGCGCCTCTCTATCCCACACAGCCGCTCATACATGAAGAGCAGCGGAGGATGGAGCGGCGCTATCTGGAGGGGGGGGCATGAGGAAGCTTTTGGGCCCCCCCCAACAGGCGGAACGCCAGGGCCCGGTCGCAATTGCGACCGTTGCGACCCTGGTAGTTCCGCCAGTGCTCAGGAGTTAAACCTTAAAGATACATTCAAGTACCTCAACTATTACCAAAAATGTATCTTATTTGTGTATCACTCGGCTGTAGATCCTCAAATCATCTCTGAATTGGTGCTGACATAGTCCTTCCTTCTGGAGGGGGGCTACTTTTGTTCCCCATGGCCCCTGTATGGAATGCACATACAATACACCACACCTAAAATGTGCAGATGTAACTGAGGCCTTATAGTATACAGAACATATCAGGGTTGTTGTAGATGTCAGCAGAATGACACTTCAGAATCTGTATACAGTATGTGGAAAATATAATAAATGGCTTGCAAGAAAAAAAATGCTGAATTCCTTTATCATTGCTTTGTCTTGAGTTAAATGTTACTGTCCCTAATCCCCGGCTGTGTTTGAAGCATTGCAGCAATAGATAAATGATAAAACATTACTGGATATGAGGATGTTTAGTAAGTTGCTTAGATATGTTTAATATTCTGCACTTTGGCTCTAGAGGTGCCAAATGTCAGCTCATCACACTGTAACTAAAGCTGATACTAACCATATTCAGTTGTATTTACTAGGGATGCCCCGAAATTTCGTACGAAAATGGTACTATGGGCAACATGCAGATAGTACCATAATGGCCGAAAATGCAGCCAAAAATGCAGTGCATCCCCGGGCGCCGGTCTGTGCCCCCTCCAATCCACGCGGCTCTCTCCTGCCTGTGTCATCAGAGGAAGTGGGGATCCGAAGGGACACAGAGGATCCAGCTACTGGCACCGAGCGGGGAGAAGAGAAGTGAGTCACGATGGAGAGTGAGATACAAGCAATCACTCTGTTTAGACCCCTGATATTTCCCTAAAGTACCTAACAGTAAAACTAAATAGATAAAAAGAAAATAATTACAAAATAATTAAAAACATTTTTAAAAGGTTGGGAAAAAAAATTTGGTTTTGGCCTGACAACAATTTCTATTTTCGGTTTCGGTCTAAAATTTTCATTTTGGTGCATCCCTAGTATTTACGATTTGCTGGATGTTTACTTTAAATTTAACCTGCACTTTCCCGATGCAGGTACAAGCGACAGGTTTACTTTAAAACCAGCCCTTGCTTGCCATTCGCTCCTCCACTCCGAGCCGCTATCACAGCACTGGCTAGTCAAAGTGCCAAATCCTCCCTTTATTTACTGAAATGAACATTCAATTTCGAAAGTGAACAGACTTTAGTCACTTAGTAGAAGTTGTGACGGCACCGCCCCTAGTCCAATCACAGGACACTTTGTATTAATTTGTTAAAGATACTAGCAGGGTTATTCACTAAAGGGTGAAGAGTTTGGAGAAGACAGGAGAAGTGAACAATCTAGGACAACATAGTTGATTTGGAAAAATTCTCCAATTCAGCTCACTTTCCAGTTCAGCTATGTTGTCCTAGATTGTTCACTTCTCGTGCCTCCTCCAAACTCTTCACCCTTCTCTGAATAGCCCTGTAGGTGTTCTATGAATGGCCATTGTGCCGAGAGAGTGACCCTCTGTGTTTTCTGTAGGGATGCACAGTTACCGGTTTTTTGGTATTGAATACAAGTACCGATATTTTTTTTCCCGGTACTCACCAATACCGAATACTAGGGATGTCCCGATACCGGTACTAGCTTCGGTATGGGGACCGATACAGGGCATTTTGACAAGTACGCGTCAAAATGCCCCGATACAAAGCGCCGAAGCTTGCGCTATGATTCTTTTTTTTTCCGGCACCTCTGGGCCAGCTAAATTAGGACCCCACCTGGAGCTCCTCCCACCGGACCAGCGCTGACCCGTCGCTGCTCTCCCGAGTCCCGCACAGTGAGTGAGGTCGAGGGGAGGCTATTAAGTAGAGGATAATCGTAAATCTATGGTCTCCAATGTATTAGCAGTGTGTACTCTATATAAAATACATATAGAGTACACACAGCAGTACACCACACGGCAATCGTGCACAAAACTGTGTGGATGGCCGGGCGGTCACAGAAACGCACACTACCGCCGATCACGCTGGCAGTGCCATTATTGTCTAATGGCACCCCAGTCGCACAAGGCAGATTGCGCAGTTTCCCGCTGCAATAACGCCCATGCAATCGCACATAATCGCGATTGAAAACATTCACAGATTACCACGCAGATGTAACCCCATTGAAATCAATGAGGCCGCGAGGCAACCGCACACGGCCTCGCCCAAGTCTGCACCCGCCCCAAACGGTAATTAAGTAATTTGGAAAACTGGAATTACCCGCACAAATCTGGTCCAGACACCACCCCCCCTCCCGCTATACTTACCTTTCAGAGAACGGGCCTTCCCATCCGCCAGTATGGGTGTACTATCTGTGCCTGTGCCATTGTAATCTGAATTTCGCTCTCAAAATTCAAGCACTCGTTGGTCAGCCCAGTCATCTGACTATATTTCATTAAAAAAATGGGTAGTTTGTTGTGTTTTGGGGCCTTTAATAAATTTGTCACTAAATTCTGGGGATTAATAAGGAGTTGCGCTAATATTGCGCAACATAAAAATTTTCAACTACCACCATTTTATTCTATAGGGTCTTGGCATTCAGAAAATATATAATGTTGGGGGGTTTTACGTCATTTTCAGGCCTAAAATGTGGAATATAACATGGGTGCAAAAAAATGAAAAAAGGGCCTCAGTCATGAAGGGGTTAAAACATTTCCACACCCCTGCAATTATCCCCTGGTAATATGAATGGGTTAAATGATCCGTAGTACATAATATGTAGTTGTACTACGGATCATTTAACCCATTCATGTTAGCAGTGCAGAATTGTATATCTATTGCTGCAGTGCATTCTATAGTACATGTACAGTACACATTCCCAATTCACTGCAGTAATAGATTTACAATGATCCCCTACTAACATGAATGGGTTAAATGATCCGTAGTACAACTACATGTTATGTACTATTATGTACTATGAATCATGCTTTAACCTATTCATGCTAGCAGGGGATAATTGTAACTCTATTACTGCAGTGTACTGGACGTATGTGCTGTATATGTACTATGGATCACGATTTAACCTATTCATGTTAGCAGGGCAGAATTGTGAGGAGCTCCCACAAGCTGAGCACCAAGACGCGATGCAGCGATCCTGCAGCGCCAACTACAAGAGGCACTTTGTGAGGCAACAGGGAACGGAGTGAAACTGTGAGTGAGGGAAGCTGGGACTGGGCTGGCTGTAAATCTATTACTATAGTGTACTGGACGTGTGTAATGTATATGTAGTACATATATACAGCACACACCTCCACTACAGCAATAGATTTACAATTCTCCCCTGCTAACATGAATAGGTTAAATCATGATCCATAGTAAATAACATGTAGTTGTACTATGGATAATTTAAAGTCACCTGTCCCTTTAAGAAAAAATATCGGTAATTGGTATCGGCAAGTACATGAGGGGAAATACTTGTACTTGGTCCTGAAAAAGTGGTATCGGGACATCCCTACTGAATACTGATACCAGAAGTACTATTAAGGAAGCTGGGCGCCGCGTAATGACTCACCACCCGGATTACTGATTAGCCGGTAGACCGGGCGTCATGTAATGACTCACCGCCTAGCTTACCGATTAGCCGGGAAGCCGTCACTATGCTCCCTCATCACCAGATGATGAGGAAGCATGGAGCCAGCTTTCTGGGCAATCAGGAAGCTGGGGGGCAGGTAATGACTCGCCGCCTGGCTTCCTGATCGTCCAGCTTCCCGAGTCATTACACAGCGCCCAGCTTCCTGACAGCCCGGGAAGCCGGCTCCATGCTGACCAGCAGGTTTTTTTTAAATTTAATATGAGACTCTGTATGCCTCTTCTGTCATAAATGCTTCCACCTGACTGTCACCATTTTTTTTTTTCTTCTTTCACCTATGCAAAGCTCAGTGTACAATATCGGTACAGTTCCATTTCAGAACAAAGTAACTAGCGCGTGCATGTGTTGCAGTTGCATCATCCCAGCTCAACCGATGAAGATGTAGAACCCAGAAGAAAAGCAGGGTGGAAGCACCAATGAAACACTAAGATTGCAGATCTGGAAGGGATTGCTTTGCTAGGCAAGTCTACCATAATGTGCTAATCAGCTGTGCATATCTGAATAATTATGTACTATAGATATGTACTAATATATATAGTTCATAATTATATATACATAGACAAAGTGAAATAACCCTCATGTGTAGGCAGCCCCAGACATACAACGAGGACACACAGCCTCATCATAACACATCCACAAAACCAAATAACTGCAAAAACTCACCATGGTTCTAGATATTCACTCAGCCACATCACACTTCCAGGGGTGTCGCTGCTGTGACGTCACCTCCGCTTCTCCGTATTGGAGAATTGCTCTTTGCTTTCAAACGTCCCGTGTCTCCGTGTTTGGCGCGGCGGCCATCTTTCTGTAGCCCGGAAGTCGCTCTGGCAGATAGCAGCTCGTGCAAGACGTAGACACTTTGTAACACTCTCACTCTGCTCACGGTTGTTATGTGAGGTGACGTCACTGAGCTAGAATTTCTATTGGCCGGGAGGAGACCGCGCTGCTCTAACTGCCCCTATGTAGAGGCGGAAGAGAGAAGTTACGTTGATCGGTGAGGTAGGAGAGTTCCGTTTGGCGGATGATAGTAGTGTGTCCGGGTATGGAGATGTGTGCAGGGTTATAAATGGCTCTTCAGCCGTCCTCTGCACGCATTGTACCGCTGAGAGTATACACTTGTGCCGACTTGTAATTCAGTGAGCACAGTCCTCCAGAGACCACAGACTGCCTGAAGTGAATGTTTCCTTTTATACAAATCATTATTTTTATCTTTTTTAGATTAAAGAAATCTTATCATGGCTGACTTCTCCTTCTGAAAATGCGAGTTCCCTGGCTGTCATGCTGACTCTCTTTAATGCTTTGTGTTACTGATCTTTTAAAGAACAACTCCGGTGGAAAGAAATCTTTAAAGGAGAACTATGAGGTGAGTGATTCCTACTCATCCTCATAGTTCTAGCCGACCTGTGACAAAGAAGCTGTCACACGTCGGCTCAATAGATTGGGAAGTGAGCAAACACATACCGCTCGCTAACTTCCCGATAGTCTTCTAGGGCAGCTGACTGTAGGAACGGACAGGGGAGTGGGCGGGCACAGCTGGCTCTGCCTCTAGATAGGAAGAGCCCGCTGTCATTCAGCCAGCAGGGTGGATGCGGACAGTATTGTCGGGAACCATGTCGGCTGCAGCGCTCTCAGTATATAGCGGGCAATAGCTGAGCTTTGGATCACCAGGGAGGTTAGTATGTTTCCTCCCGTGACCCTACAGAGAACTATGGGATAAAAAGTTTTCTTTTAACCCTTGCAGTGGGGCTACTCCTGCACTGACCTCTGCACTGCAAGGGTTAACTGCTTGTTTGTGTCTAGGTTAAAATAAAGGAAGTTACACGCACCTATCATCGGAACTGGCCTGCTGTGACAGCACTTCCTCCAGCCTGTCTCCTGCCCCGCTGCAGAAATCATATATTCCTTGGTGTTCTCATGTCCTATATGCTGTGCATAGAACATGATGACTCGAGGATTCCTAGACTGCTGCAGCGGAGGGGGAGGGTGAATATAACTGTTTTGTTTTTTTGAACCTAGACAAAAATGAGCACTCAACCCTTGCAGTGTAGGGGTCAGGGCGAGGGTAGCCTCACTGCAAGGGTTAAGAATTGTTTCTCTAGAGTTCTACTTTAATTTCCTGTTTCCTGAACAGTGACAAACCTCAACAAGAAGAATCCCATTGTTTTTAGTGGTGCCCATTCATTGCAAAGGAGAAAACTAGCCAGCTTTTGAGGCACTACAAGTCCCAAGAGACATTGCAAGACTCTTGACAGCCGCAGGCATGACTCTCAGAGGCAGATGCTTGATGGGATTTGTAGTCTCACCACAGCTGGAGGGCTGTAGTTTGGCTATCTCTGCTAGAAAGAGTCTCTTGAGTGACATCCCTGAGTTGGCTGCAGCTGTTGACATCACATCCGAGATGGTGACCCCCAACAACTGTCTCAAGGGCTTTTGGATGTCTACACAAGGGAGGCTTTTACAGGTAATAACCTGCATAACATACTACAAATGCACCTATAATCATATGGAAATAGTTTTGTTGAAATAGCCCTGGTGACAGTGTCTTTAAATGAAAACAAAAACTCTGGCAGGCTTTTTATTACAGACGAGACATATGATGTCTACTCTGCTAAAAAAACCAAAAACCCTTCTTAAAGTTCTTGAAGCTCATTTCAGGAGTAGGTAATGTACAACATAGTGAGCACAATGCAGCGACCATCACAATGCCATGTATAAAATGGTTTGTTGTGTACAGCACAGCATACGGTGTTTGCGGGAGGCAGGAGTTAGTAAGTTGCAGCACAGCTTACACAGGGAAGTGCTCAGGATAATAAAAATAGTGGCCCCTACATTGCTGGTAAGTGAGATGAAAAAAATTTGTCCGTGGAAAGAAAAAAAAAAAGCTCCAGTGGTCAGTGGAAGGAAAAAATTGTGCCAGTGGTCAGTGGAAGGAAAAAAATGTGCCAGTGGTCAGTGAAAGGAAAACAATGCTCCAGTGCCAGTGGTCAGTTGGAGAAAGAAAATGCGCCAGTGTGGGTAGTGTGTAGGAGCAAAATGTGCCCCAGCATTAGTGGGGAGAAAAAAAAATGCCCCAACATCATTGATAAATGCTGCAACATCAGTGGTCAACAAGAGGAACAATGCCTCAGCTCTGGTGGGTTTGGGAGGAAGAATGCCCAATAATTGGCATCTGTGGGAGAAAGCAACAATGTGATAATAGGAGGAAAAATGTTCCAACGTCATTGACAGAAGGACTGCCCCTTCATTGGTGTCAGTGTGAGGAAGAATGCCCCTTCATTGGCGTCAGTGTGAGGAAGAATGCCCCTTCATTGGCGTCAGTGTGAGGACGAATGCCCCATCATTGGTGTCAGTGTGAGGAAGAATGCCCCATCATTGGTGTCAGTGTGAGGAAGAATGCCCCATCATTGGTGTCAGTGTGAGGAAGAATGCCCCATCATTGGTGTCAGTGTGAGGAAGAATGTCCCATCATTGGTGTCAGTGTGAGGAAGAATGCCCCATCATCGGTGTCAGTGTGAGGAAGAATGTCCCATCATTGGTGTCAGTGTGAGGAAGAATGCCCCATCATCGGTGTCAGTGTGAGGAAGAATGTCCCATCATTGGTGTCAGTGTGAGAAGAATGCCCCATCATCGGTGTCAGTGTGAGGAAGAATGCCCCATCATCGGTGTCAGTGTGAGGAAGAATGTCCCATCATTGGTGTCAGTGTGAGGAAGAATGCCCCATCATCGGTGTCAGTGTGAGGAAGAATGTCCCATCATTGGTGTCAGTGTGAGAAGAATGCCCCATCATCGGTGTCAGTGTGAGGAAGAATGTCCCATCATTGGAGTCGGTGTGAGAAGAATGCCCCATCATCGGTGTCAGTGTGAGGAAGAATGGCCCATCATTGGTGTCGGTGTGAGGAAGAATGTCCCATCATTGGTGTCAGTGTGAGGAAGAATGCCCCATCATTGGTGTCAGTGTGAGGAAGAATGCCCCATCATTTGTGTCAGCATGGCTCTGCCTCTCTAGACCCAGAGCAAGCTGTGCCCTTCCCCTCCCCTCCCTGTCCTTCCAATGAATGTTGGAGGAACAGAGAGGGGGGAGGGAAGAATTCCTGTGGGGAGCGGTGACTGACAAATCTCCGCTCTGCAGGGATAAGCCAGGAGCTGAGTGATCAACGGCTTGTGATCGCTCAGTTCTCGAGCTATAGAGCCAGCATGTGACAGATGCAGTATCACACATCAGCTCAAACTATTGTGAAGAGTACATTTTACTTTCCCAATACTTCTGCTCTAAATGAAGGTTTTTGTGCCCAGTGTTCAGCTTAACACGCGTTTCCCCTTGTGCAGTGAGGCCAACAGGATTGTTAAAAAGACTACTCACTTGCTTCAATGGCATTTCTCGCTTGCTAGCCAAAAAGCATAATCTCCCTTACTGATTTTGTCCATTTGCCTTTTTCTTTTTAGCTTAAAATGGGCTTACAGGTGCGCTCCAGTGTGTTTGCATGGGTTTGTATGCGTTTTTGATGAGTTTCCATGCATTCCAGTACATTCCAGACCAGACAAAATGGGACAAGCAGTATTTTTGTTATCTGGTCCGGAACAGACTGTGCTGGTGTGAACAGAGCCCAGAAATACTAAAGGGTTACATTGGGATGCTTTTTTGGTCTGGGAACAAACTGTTCTGGTCTGGACATGATCCGGACATGGTGTGAACAAGCCCTCAGTCCAGAGATTTCCTCTGTAGTACGTTTTTCTTCCACGAGATGTCCTTGGTTTGATGGCCAGTATTATTAAACCCACTTCCTCTGAACCCAGGTCATCCTGGACCCACCTAAGCTTGTTATTGGATAGTGAAAGGAGAATCAACATAGTGATGAGCTCATTTGTCTGTTTAATTGCTCTCTCCTATCAGCATGCTTCTTGTCAGCTCATGACCAGATTGACGGCTTGTGCTGCTTATTTCTCTCACACTTGAGTCCAGCTGTACACGAACTTCAGGAGGCTAACACCAGGCCAAATTCAGGCACTTATGCTGCATGCGTTTAAAAATATACACTGAGCGGCCAGATTATTATGACCACCCCATCAGTACTTCGTTGGGCCACGAGATGACTCCACGAGATGACTTTGTTGGGCCGCGAGATGTTGAAAGGTGATGCGAGGAATCTGACACCGCACTGGTTCCCTTCTGTTGTCTTGTATCAGTCTTGCCACTCTCCGTTCTGCCCTAACATTGACTAGTCGCTGACGGCCACAATTGGCACGTTCAGACCCAGATTTTCGTCTGACAGTCCAGTCTTTAAACACTTTAAAAATGAGCCTCTCTTGAACATTTAACGAATTCTGCTGTTTTGCTGATACTCGCTCCATGGCTCCGAGCGCCAACAATCATCCCACGTTCAAAGGCTGTTAAATCGCATTGTTTACCCATATCTTCAGAAAAAAATCACTTCTACTGTCGTGGTAAACAACCTGCTTCCCTATTTATAATGGTCTGGCCCTCTGGCAACTTCAGCACCAAATTATAGCTAATTTGCCCACAAACGTCAGGTGGTCATAATAATCTGGCCACTCAGTGTATTTAATTGTGTAATAAAGAGGAACTGCACTCTGGAAGCTTTACCCAAAAAAAGCAGGCAGAGAAAAAACGATTAGTGTTCTCCCTGTAGCTGATCTTAGCCCTATTATACCGTCTTCTGCACTATGGGGGTTATTCACTTAGCTGCCGAAGGCAGCCGAGTGAGTAACCCAGCGGAAGTGAAGTGAGCCGTACATCAGCTGCCTTCGATCAGCCGAATATGCAGAGCCAAAGTGCAGAAGGAGTTCGACTCGGCCGATCCAACATCTGGATCGGCTGAGCCGAATCTCCGGCAGCTCACTCGCTGCCTGTTCGCCCCTATTCTCATAGGTGCCGAACGATAGTAAGCGAATAGCCGAATGCCGCCCGACTTTTCTGCTCACTACCGCCTGAGGTAGTGAGCAGAATTGTGAATATTGTGCTATTGTGAATAGCCCGTACA